GTTACTTGTATTACTGCAACATACCATGATGATTTTATTATCCTTTTCATGTGCGTGTAAATGAATAAAATTTTGAGTTAGTGATATTTTTTGGCTCAAACTCTAAAATTTGTAGTGGAATAGACATGTTGGGGCAAGATAATAGCAGAATTATAACCTTTGTCTCTCACTCCCCTTTTTTGCTCACGCATAGAGAGAGAAATAAAGGGAAAAAAGTCACCACGTCTGCCTTGTATAGATTCTGCGCATTGCTCGGGAACTTGGAGATTTTCTTATTGTTGGGACCCATAATGATCAAACTATAAGGTAAATCATTCTTTTGCATTTAATCTATTTTTCTCTTTCACTTTGTTAAAACTAACTTCTGTTAAAATAAGTTATGTTGTTAGGAATTTCTGCTAGTTCATTTGAAATTGATATATTATCTATGTTATGCAGTGCTAAACGAGGTCCCCATCGCCCTACCATGAATTTGCATGAAAGAAGCTTAAGTGTTTTAGCTTGTGGCTATGTGGATGAGGTGACAATTGGTGTCCCATGGGAAGTGTCTAAAGACATGATTAGTACCAAGGCTTCAAATCGCGGTCGCGGTCGCGTTTTCGGTCATTTCGGGTTTACCGTGATTGTGGCCATCGCGGGCGCTATTGCGGGTGTAGCGGGTAACTCGGAAGGAGGCGAAACCGCTATATCGCGGACGAAATCACGTTTTTGAAACCCCGGTTAGTACCTTATTTCTTAGGGTTTTATAAAATTATTTATTCTTTGATTTAATTCGTTGGAATTTCATTTGAATATTACATACATATATGTATAAACATATTTTGTTTATAAAATTTAATGTTTTATTAAAAGTTTGTATTCAAGTTAGAAACTCACAATTTATCTTAATGATACTTGTCATGGCTTGAAATCATGGAAATGTTGAATACTTATTAAACTTTCTCGATCTTTTCCAAGACAAATTCGCTCAAATTCTCTCCTTGTAATAATCTGTCCTAGTGCTTGTGAACCTTATCGAAGTTTTGAATATTACATACATATAAACATATTTTGTTTATAAAATTAATGTTTTATTTGATTTTTGTTCTTAAATTCTGATCTTAAGTTTTGAGCTACATATACAAAGCTTAGTGTAAAGACGTACATGTGTATCTTTATGTATATACTCCTTAATGTGTATTGTTTTTAATAACATGAATGCATAAGTCGCTTGTTTTGCCTATGAAAGATGTTGAAGAAGCTTATAATCTAGAACGGTTATTAGTTTGTTGTTTTGTGATTAGTTATGTTTAATAACGATTTTATTGCGATGCTAAACGCTGCAATGCACTTATTTTTTTTTATAAAAAAAACGTGTTTACTCACCCAAATCATGTAATTTCAGATCACAACGTTTAATATATGTTTAGTAGTGCATGGAACAGTTGCAGAAAGAGGAGATTTTCAGAAGGTGAAGTGGTTGTTGATGCATATTGATGAGAATAGCTATGTTCCATTATTTGAATCATTGCTAAATTTTTATATGATGCAGGAGAAAGATAACCCTTGTGATGCTCCAATTAGCATGGGTATCTTTAGGGTTCTGGAAAGCCCACTGGACATTACAACTACAACAATAATTAAAAGGATTGTAGCAAATCATGAAGCTTACCAGGTTCACCTTAAGATTTATGAACTAATGCATGTTGTACTCTTTCAAGTTCACAGTGGAGATTGAGTCACAAAGGAAAGAAATTAGTCAAGTGGACACAATTATTCCATATAATATAATGATTACCATTAATTATATTTATGTGGTGTAGGTCATAATGAATATTTATTTTGAAATGGCTTATGAGATATGTTTTCATTGTGCAGAAACGCAATGAGAAGAAGGTATTACGACGGTAAAACTTATGTTTCCGGCGACTAATCAAGTCTAAACATATATATATATCGCCTGGTCGACCTATTTTATTTTGTGTAAGTAAAAGCTAATTATTTCGTACTAACATCAAGATTGAGCCAACCTAGCAGGTTGCTAATTGCATGCATTTTTTTATCCATAATTTACTAGTGCATCTCTCATCTTTCTTCATAACAAATGTCAACCATTTTTGTCCATTTATATATTGTATTCTTGGGTTAAAGGTGAAAAATTATCACTATTTGTTTCAAAAAAAATGTTACAACCCGTTTTTCTTCACACTTTCTATTTTTATATATCATTTCAATAATACAAAAATGTTTCAAACACAAGAAAACAATACGATTAACCCTGAAATTAACCATAATTTTACTGCTAACAAAATCTGTAGTATTTATCAAAACATTTAATACATAATTTAAAAATAAAAATCTAAAGAAATGAAAGAAAACAATGAAGTAGAGAGTGGCCTTGGTTCCATGAGTTTTTGGGGCTCTTATCCCCGCCTTGGTTTCCCGTCGAACAGGGGCTTGTTGCCGGTGCAGTAGATGTCTGATCCACATTGTTCTTTTGACATGTGCCCCAGTAACACCCGTCCAACCTCAAGGTGGCAGTCGAGGTAATAGTAGGATGATTGGCAGCACATTCGTAATTTCGTCTTGTATCCGTTAAGCATAAATATTGTTCCCTCAAGAGTACATGTAGTATAGTAGAAGTAGAGACATACATATATAGTTTTGCTGCGGGTGAAAAATACTCATGTATCTTAGTGGCGCACATTTATAGAGTAACAAGGAGAGAGAGAAAAGGAGAATTAATTAAAGGCAATTAATTTGCATGGAATTGGAAGGGAAGGGAGTCCTTATATATTATGTCCTGGCTCGGCGGAAGCAGTAAGTAAGCAAAGGTCTTTCCAACCACGCTTGAAGGTGCCATTGTCCTCAACCAATGTATAAGCGTGAGATGGCTAAGATCGGGGTGGCTTGCGTCGCAGCATTGCTAGCAACCCTTGAACCCACACTGCTGCAGCTTCTCTCTCCAGTTATGGGATTTCATGGATCCTATAGCCACCACATTTCGTATCTCCTTGGATAGTAACTGTTGCTCCACCACTTGCCGCTCCTCACTCAACCTGAGTCAAGCCACAAGTTTAACCATTGAAATATGTTTCTTTTAATTCCTCTACTTTCCTTTTTCTAGTTTGGATCGGATCTTGAATAACTTTTTTAAGAGTAAAAGCTAAACCAAAGCAAAATCCCCACAAACTATAAAAAAAAAGTGTCTTTTCTGATTTCTCTTCAAATAACATTCTTTTTTAAAGAAAAAAAGAGTTTCCATTGCATGAAAAAATTCATCTTGTCATGCATTCTTTTCCATGTTTTATGATAATGTAAATTGGGTATGGCATCTTTAAATTTCTTATTTCTACGATGATGGTGTCAAGTAAAGGGTGGAGCTAGCCGATGCTGGGAATGAGAGCATTACCACGGTGGGAGTTGGCAACCAAGAAACGGCCATCAAGGACAACCAAATATTGCGCAGAAGCGCGAGAGAAAAAAGGACACCCCAAGCCTTAACCCATTTTGTCCGGTTCTAAAGAATCTAAGGATTAAGAATATAAATAGAAGCGCATGTGAAACGTGAAGATTTATCTGTAATCCTGAAATATTTTACAAACTTCTTAATCTACTGCCTATTCTCCTTTTCTATTCCTGTACTTTCTTTTCTGGTTACTGGTTCATGACAGATGGGTTCTTCCCTTTTCTTTTACTTGTTTTTCTTTTTCACGTTTGTTCTTTGTATCTATGTAATCTTTAGTGATTTCTTCAATTGTTAGATTTGCTGGTTACTATATTTTGTGAATATAAGACTGCAACTTTATATCTTCATTTTTTTTATATTTTAATAATTTTTAACGTGCGTCTGTTTATACTTTGTAACCGTTTTTTTTTTCATTTTTGTGTGTGATTAGGACATTTAAGTTAGTAGTTTCTGCAATTAGTGACTTTCGTTATCATATACACACACACATATAAAGAGTTAAACTTTGCTAATAAATCAGAAAATAAAGTGATATATGGGGTTATAGAAATACTTTGATTCATGAACAAGTGCAGCATAACCTACATTCTCTTATTAATTTCAATCAATTTTATTGGAGGGAGATTACCTATCTAGCCTTCGTATTCTGATTGTACTGATGCTTTCGAAGATCGTTGGGAGCCACTATCAGATGATACCTTGAAGGTCAACTTCGATGCTGCATTTACCAAGAGCACTAACTCGTCAGTTTCAGGAGTTGTTTCTGCAGGTTTACTTATGGCAGCTGGAACTTACTCGTTAACTCATATTCCTCACCCGGTTATTGCGGAAGCCAGAGCTTGTGGACATGCAGTTGAACTTCCGAAAGCTTATCTTTGAGGGTGACTCTCTAATTGTAATCAAGAAGCTCCAATCCACCTCAACACACCGTTCTCTAATCAGCATGATAATCAACAATATTCAGAGATTAAGACAAGGTTTTGATCAAGTTATACCCCCGACAGTGTAATAACTCTGCTCATACCATTGCCCAGTTTGGTCGTTGTTATACATCGAAATCTCTCTGGATTGAACAAGACCCTCCGGTGCTTGAAGAAGCTATTGAAAAGGATAGATGGTGGGTTGATCCAAGGGCGGATCCACTAAGCCCGGGGCTAAGTCACTTATTACTGGAGGTGGAAAATCGGTTTCTAGTCGTTCCTTTAAATAAACCAATTTAAAGAACTTTAAGCTTAGAAAACAAAACCGACCGACTTTTATTTATCAAAACCAACCTGGCCAGCTGAAATGACATAACTTTAGTTTGTTATTTCGTTTAATCAAGATACGACTTTGACTAGGAAAAATGGTATGTTGGATTGATTTTTTCTACTTTTATAAATAAATTTAAAAATTTAAAATAATTAATATACAAGTATATGCTTTGTCAGTTATATGATCGACAGAACAAAACTGGCCCTCTATTTGTTCTTGATAACTAATTAACAAGATAAATAATAAAATTGGACTGAGCATTTTAGGAAGTGGCCATTCATGTCTTTTTGACAGGTGAAAGTCCAAGTCGGAATTTTAATGAGTTAAGGCCGAGCCCACCGAAACAGACAGCGGTTGATGCAAATTGCCCAACTGTTATGATATACAAGAATCGACATTACATTATGCAGGGAAATTCTTTTGGTTTTTGTTGTCAGTCAAACAGATGAACGATGTACAAAGGGTATGGTTGGGCAGCAACATAAAATTAACACGCAAGAATCTCCGATTCAACATGAAAATACAAGACACGAATTTGTTGCATCAAAGCCCATTATCATTTTCATCATCATTCTTCCAATTCAGTTCTTTCACTGGCGACTCCTCCAGAACAGGAGGAATACAATCCACTTTGCATCGAATGGCCTGTCCAACCAACCAGATTTACATCAATACTACGATTTACATGTTTAATAAGAGTCTTGATTATTGAACAATAATCCTACGTGTTAATAATTTATCTGATAAACCATCTCAACAATACCATTTTTAGGTCATATGAAAATCAATACAATTCAATTATCAAACGGAACTATACAACAGAGTGCGTTATGCATCAACTGTCACAAGTGTTACTCAAATGCATACAAGAGATTGTACTAGTATTCAAAAGCGTTCAGAGTTACGCATAGAATCAAATCAAGCAGCGAAAATGTAACATTAAGGAGAAAATGAACAAATACCACCACTACATACCTTCTTGAAAAAGGTTGAATATGAATTATCCCAGATGAGTTTGTAGTTTCCAGCCTTGAATGTGCTGAAGTTTCCCTATATACATATACATACAATGGAAGAATTACAAGTCTCCTGAGGTAAACTTAACATTTCATAGCCAGTGCAGTAATCCAATAACTTACTTGATCCGACTCACAAAGCCGGTAAGGTAATATTTGCTGAATAATGATCAGAGATGCCCAAGATATTTAAGAATAGGTTAGAACAGAGATTCAAAAAGAGACAACAAAAATGACATCCACGACTGCAACTCAAGAAAATAAACCAGAACATCATCAAGCAACAAAGGAACTATATTTCTCAAACTTACTGTTTTTTCTCCACCATTATTTGTGTACTCCACACTAAATCCAATATCCTGCCACCATCAATGGAAAGTTCAAAAGAGTGAAAAGTGATCCAACATATTTTTATTTTATATAATAGCTTAATGAAACCTGAATGCAATGAAGGGGAGTGACATGCAGTAAGACGGGAGGTCACGGTGAGAGTTTTTTATTTTATTTATTGTGGGTGATTTGAAGATTTTATTAGCTAGTTTTGAATTGTTGAGATATCTTTAACACTACAAGTTTCCTTGGGAGAAATTTCCTACCATGCGTGAAGATAAAAACAGTTTTTAAATTTTAGGGTTCAAGTGAAGAAAATAGCTTTTAGAATATTTTCCTACTTTTTTTCTTATATGCACACACATATATTTAGAACAACTATAATTTAAAATAAAGAGAAGTATTATCATATACAATTATTTTATATTTGAAACCAAAAGACAAATACATGTAGTTTACATTTTGCTCAGCCAGATTTGACATGAGACATTCTTTATATATATATATACACACACATACACACACGCACACGCCTTCCATAGTATATTTTATTTTATATATTTTAAAATCCAGGAAAAATCAAGAGATCAAAAAAATTTGAGACAAGCATAGGGAAGAAGGAATAGCAAAACGGTGCTGAAATAAATAATCGACAAATTATTTTTGGAAAACAAATATATACATATATAAGTTTGTGACACAAGTAAAACTTCTACAATAGTAATAAATGCTAAAGAGCATTTACATAATTGTAGTTATAATTATATAACCAATTACTAGTTTTAGTTACTTTTTGAAATTTCTAAGAAATCCTTTGAGTAGGACTGCCATTTGTTACTTATTAGTAGTTTTAGTATTAAAACCAGAATATAATATCTTTTTCAATGAAAATTATTATTGTTTAAAATTTTTGATAAAATTGGTATTAACATATTTTAATACATAAAATTTAAAAAGAAATTTACTCGTTTAACAAAAAATTAAACCGGCAACAACACAGGAGTTAATTCTATTATTAGCTAACATCAAATGTTGAATGTCTTTAAATAGCATCCAACCAACATACTAAGTTATTTATGCATGATAGCACAAAATCATATTGAAAATAACCGGTAAGCTAGTGAACCGAAAGTTTCATTAAAGGTGCAGGAAAAAGTTATGACAATACCATGTTCATCTTGCCCTGCAGCAATGAGAAATCCAAAGCAATATATGAGTTGATCGACTCCACTGTCAATGAAATCTGTAAGCAATGCATCAGAAAGACAAAAAGGGAAAAAAGAGACAGGAAGTTAAGTTTTTTTTTTTCAAAATTCTTTTTCGTATGAATGTGTGTGTGTGAAGAACCCATATGCATAAGATTTGAGCAGCTTAAAAAGGTAAGTGAGTTAAGTAGACCATGTAACTTAGTCTCCTTTTGCAGGATGTGATATCAACACAAATGACACACACACATGCAATACTAGCTACCATGCATAGATAGGTTAGGCCAGGTAGTCGAATGTAGAGATGAATCAGCTTTACGAACAAACCTCATAACTTTTCCCGGAAGGAACAGTAATCTCCTTGTAATCATCTTTTTTCCTGGAAAAAAAACCAAAAGAAAAATCTATCTGAAGTGGGAAAACCGACACCAAGTTCAGGCAGACGTGGATGCTTACCTCATTTCTAACAAGCTGCCATCCTCTGCTGAAATAAAGAACGGCGAATTTGCAAAGACCTCACTGTAGATGCATATGTAAATAAACAAGTAGATAGTTTCATGCATCTGGATAATTAATCCAAACAGCTTATACTTCTGTAGTGATGGAGACCGCTTTAATAGTTAAATCAGCAGTGAGTGTCTAAAATTGGTTATGCAATCATTTCATCTTTGTTGCGAGTTCATGTAATTTCTATTGACACACAAAGTAGGACCAAGTCTGACTTTCATTTTGATAAGGTAGATAGCATACCAAGTGGCAGTTCAAAAATATCTTTCCGGACATACCCCACTGAAGTTGTGCAAGTAACAAGATTGTAATTTGTAGAAAGCAAGATCACATCTGATAAGCATTCAGTTTAGTATTCTGGTTTAAGACTCAAATGAGATAGCATGGTCATTTCTGATGGCCAGAAGATATATAATTAAATGTAAGGAAATGAGAAGTTGGCGGAACTGTTAAAACAAAACCCAGATAGCTGACAAAACATTATCTGTTAGACTTATCTCCCCCAAAACTATTAGAAACTAATGTGTGTCATTGTCACCATTGTTGATATAAAAGCATCATCATCATCAAGAAGAACATGTGATGATGTATACAACCCATATGAATCAAGAAATAAACAATACCTTAAAAAGTTTATGAACCTCTGAAGCTCGGAGGTGTAGACATCAACCGCTTCTTCCAAGACTGAAATCTGAAGCCTATTTCTGAAGACATGATATGGTAGAAAATCAACCAGAAGAAAGTATACCACTACCAGCTAGATGCTATAATCATATTTCTTGCTGTATTAAACTGTCCCTCGAGTCTAGTTCCACAATATGTAAAGAAACAAAAATAGAAATAACAGTGAAAATTAAATATGCATAGACTTGAGGATATCTCACGGTTTAAGAGCTTCAAATCTTCGCCATTCTAAAGAAAGAAAGAGACGGATAAAACGCACCATCCTTGTAAGGCTATACAAAGGGGGTCCATAGCGTTGCCGCTGCTCTTCCATGGGCCTATTTATAGGAAGATACTATTTTTCAGTCAAGCTTCTCACCAACTGCTAAATAGTCAATTCTAATTATTCTAAAAGGCAGACATGTAACTATTAATGTGTCAAAAAGGAAGGACTACATAAAATGAAAAGCACTTACCCATCATCATCATTTATTTGCCGAATAAAATCCAATAAAACCTTCAGAGAGGTTTAGAGAGCAGAAAAATATATTAGAACACCAGACAGAAGTAATTTTCCAGTATTAATCAAAAGTTTCATATGCATCTAACTTTGCAAGTTGTTATAGAGTGTGCAACTCAGTATCTCCACTTAAGGAAAAAATATTAATAAATCAAGCACAGCTACAGGCAGGAGAACAGTTTAATAGTGTGTTACATAAGAATTCCCAGAGGAGGAGAGATATGAGCGCGTTAGGTAGAGAGAGAGTGAGAGAAAAGTCAAAAATTTCCATTGATGCTGATGAGGAATGGACAGTGTTCATTGATAATCTTAACAAAAGTGTTTCCAGAGGGGTGTTAAGGAATTATTTTAGTCCTTATGGTCAGATCTTGAGGATTTTCATCCCTCGTTTTTTAGAAAAACCAAATTATAAATCTTCTACTTTTGCTTTCGTCCAATATGCTCGCGAGGAAAGTAGAAACAAGGCAATCCGGTTCGTGAATGGGAAGTGGCTTGATGGAAGAAGAGTCTCAGTAGGGATCGCTAAGTATCAAAAGGTTAAGAGAAGGGAAGCTGTGGAGGGGAAGAGAATGTTGGAAATCAGGTCTGAGATTAAAGATGCACCAGGATCGGGGAGGAGAGCTGTGTCGTTGAGAAACTTGAGAGATAACAGATCGTATAAGGATGTGGTGAACTCTGATTATGATTTGAGAAGGAAAACAGTATCAGGGGCAAACTTGCCGGGTAACAATCAGAGTGTTCCAACTGTGAGAAATGTTTGGGACATGCATATTCCATCAGATAATTCAGAATGGGTTAAACGTTCACTATCAGGGATAATGAAGTCTTCTTTTGAACATAACTCGGTGAAGAACGCTATAGAGTTAGAAGGCATGGAAGTTCAAGTTGTTAGATGGGGTTATGCATGGAATGCATGCATAATTACTTTCAACTCGGTGGAGGAGGCCTCACAGGTATGGATGAATAAAAAGGAAAAGCTGTTGTTATGCTTTGATTGGTTAGCCCCAGTTTTGAACGAGGATGGAGTACCGTCGGCACTTTGCCAGATTGAGTTATTTGGATTGCCTTTACTGTGTTGGAATGAGGCATTCTTAAGAAAGCTTACAAGGAAGTGGGGTCAGTTTCTATGTTTTACGGCAAAAGTTCTGCTCAGGGTGGAAAGACCTTATGATATTCCTGATAAAGTGACGATTGGTTCGTATGGTAGATCGTTCAAAGTTACGATCACTCTGGGATCTGTTTTGATTAAACCAGAGAAAGAAGCGGGAAGGAAGAAGATGGAGAAATTTTCAAAAAAGAGGAACAGTGGTTATGTCGTGTCAGAGGAGGGATCTGGCAGACATCCTACTCTGGCTGAAGACAGGGATGAGTCTGCAGAGGATGCTAGGCTTAAAGTCATTTCTTGGCTAAATTGTGGGCAGAACAGTGGAGTGAATGGAGTCAGTGGGGGACATGTCCAATCGAGTAAGTCAACAGCAGATAATTCTGATTGTGGGCTGTCAGGTTTCTTGGGAAATAAGACAAGTCAGAATGACAATCACTTGGGCTTGGGATTGAGAGATACAATTGATCCGGTAGACTCAGTGCAATCTGAGGAAAATGAGGCTGCATTATTTCGAAATAAAAAATGGGTTCCCAGTGGGCCAGCATTTAATCTTAAATGGGTTGGGGACAAGTTTGTCTTACAGCCCAATGCCAGTCCTGCAATTCACTTGAGTGCTGCTGATGAGGGGGAGGATAGGGGGTGAAAGTCAATTTTCAGGGGGGAAAGGAAGTGAATCCAAGTGAACAGGGAGATGTTATAAGAAAGCATAACTACATTGGTTCAAAAAGCCTGGAGGGGGACCACATTATTAGTTTGCAGATTGATAATGATGTAGAGGGGTTTAAATGTACAGTTGATAAATCGGAAGGTGGTAAGCAGATGGAGAAGGTTATGAATGATAATTTATGTAACTCTAATGAGGAAATCTTCTCAAGTTCGAGTACAAAGAATAGAAATAATGAGATTCAAGAGGGAAGTACTCCATGCCACAAGAAGATGACCAGTTTAAAGCAAAGGAAAGTCATCTAGTTCCTATTAATCAGCAGGATCAGTGTATTCCTCGGTCTAAAAGCCTTACTAATAAGCGAAAGTTGAGAATAGCCCCTCGTCGATCAGGAAGTGTTTGCTCGGATACTGAAGTGTCTATCAGCTTCTATGATTGAGTCTATAGAAAGGTTCTTTGAAGTAAGGTCAGGGAGTCAGTGGAGCAAGTCAGGGAGGTATCTCAGTCTTCCCAATCTTCTGTTAAAGCTAGGATTGAAGCTGCTGCTACTAGGGAGGTCTGTGAAATGTTGGGGATCACCTTTAAAGGGGGGCAGCAATTATTAGAGGAGGAGATTTTTAGGATGGAATTGAAGGGGTCTTCTCAATGACCCTGATGGTTTCTTTGGTTTGATGTGGAGTTTATGATTGTCAATTTTATGTCTAAGTTAAAATTAATCACATGGAATATTAGAGGTCTTGGGAGAAGAGAAAAAATAAGAGCAGTGGCCAGACTCGTTACTAGAGAGAAGCCGTCTATCCTATTCTTACAGGAGTCAAAACTGAATGTCTGTAAAAGCAATTTATGGAGGAGGTTAGGAGGTAATCTATTGAAAGGTCATGTCTTTCTTCCAGCTGAGGGTTCTGCAGGAGGTCTGATAAGTTTGTGGAATGAGAGTGTTTTTGTGGTCAATGCCGAACATAAACATAGCAGATTCATAGCATTATCAGGAAAGTTCAAGCTGTATAATTTTGATTGTGTTTTAATAAATGTATATGGTCCAGCAGTAGAAGCGGATAAAGAGGAATTCTTTAGGGAGCTGATGTGTTTTGTGCAGTGTTTAAACCTGCCAGTCTGCATAGGAGGGGATTTTAATGCTTATTTGGATACAGAGGAGAAATGCGGTGTAGCTCAAAACTGGCATTCCATGGATTTGTTTAGATCCTTTGTTCAACATTTTAATCTTATGGATTTACCATTAGTTGGAGGAAGATATACTTGGTGCAACAACATAGAGTCTCCTACTTGGGTAAGGCTTGATCGGTTTATTATCAGTGGTTCTTTCCTAAATCAATTTCCTAATATGATCCAAAAAATGTTCCCAAATCCCTTTCGGATCATAATCCTGTGGTGTTAGTAGAAGAATGCAACAATTGGGGACCAAAACCTTTTCGATTATACAACTATTTGTTAGAGGAAGACTAGTTTGTTGAGTTGATTGAAAATTCATTGTCTACTGTGAAGGCGAATGGTCGAAGGGGTCTATTTTCTCTACTTCGAGGAACAAAGTAGAAGATCAGGGATAGGCCTTTTTCGACTCAAAAGGGCATTTCTGAAAAAATTTCTCAACTAGAAAACTTGATTAATGATCTGGAATTCAAATTGCAAGGAGGGATTTCCATTCAAGAAAGGGATTTGTTGATTCTGTCCAGGAATGAATTATGGAAGTTGCATAGGAGGGAAGAGAGTATTTGGTTACAAAGATCAAGATTGAAGTGGATCAAGGATGGGGATAGGAATACAAAGTTTTTCCATTTAACAGCATTAAATAGAAATAGAATGAATACAATTTTGGCCCTGAGAGTGGCTGATGAAGAAATTTCTGATCCGGAGAAGCTGAAAAAATTTGCCTTTGAGTATTTTAAGGAGAACCACAGCTCTAAAAATACGCTGGAGGTAGAGGACATTAATCTCAATTTCATGACATTATCAGAGGAGCGGAAAAATGGACTTGAGGTACGGTTTTCAGAACATGATGTTAGGGAAGCAGTGTTTCACTCGGACAGCTCCAAAGCCCCGGGTCCATACGGCTTCACGATGGGTTTCTTTAAAAAATTCTGGCCTGTTTTGAAGGATCATTTAATAAAGTTTGTGGATGACTTTCACAGAGGAATGAGTTGGGAGCATGGGGTCAACCATGCTTTCATTACTTTGATTCCTAAAAAACTCAACCCTGAAGTTATTGAAGATTACAGACCAATTAGTCTTGTTGGAAGTTTGTACAAAATTATCTCTAGAATCTTATCGAGGAGATTGGTTTCTGTTATTAAAGTTTTGATTAGCCTATTGCAGTTCGCCTTTATTTCGGGTAGGCAGCTCATTGATTGCGCTTTTATGGCAAATGAATCTATAGATTACTGGAGGAAAAAAGGTAGGAAATGAGTTGTTTTTAAAGTAGATTTTCGCAGAGCCTTTGACTCAGTGGAATGGCCAATTATTTTGAGGTTATTGAAGATAATGGGTTTTGAAGACAAATGGATTTCTTGGATGGATTATTGTATTTCTTCTGCTTCAATTTCAGTCCTAATTAATGGTTCCCCTACTCAAGAATTTCAGATGGGCAAAGGGCTGAGACAAGGTTGTAGTCTATCTCCTCTTCTGTTTAATATTGTTGGTGAGCTATTGAACTTAATGTTGAGTAAGGCTGCTACCCTTGGTCTTTTTGAAGGATTCAATATTGGTATTGAAGAGAATCTTTTTAAGTTGACTCATCTGCAGTTTGCAGACGACCTAATCTTATTTTGCAGAGATTCTTCAACTCAAATTTTGAATTTAAAGAGAGTATTGAGGGTATTCAATTTAATTTCAGGGCTTCATCTTAATCTATCCAAGAGTAAATTGTTTGGTGTTAATGTGACAGAGGACAGATTAAAAGATTTAGCACTGGAAGCAGGTTGTGGAGTGGGATCTTTTCCTATGACTTATCTAGGTCTTCCGATAGGAACAAAGAAAAATTCAGAGTTATTGTGGGAACCAGTTTTACATAAAGTTTTCACCAGATTAGCAGGGTGGAAAGCTGCTTCTTTATCGTTGGCTGGAAGATTGGTGTTGATAAAATCGGTATTGTCCTCCTTACCTATTTTTTACCTCTCCATTTTCAAAATTCTGTTTAAGGTCAATCAGAAAATTAACTCAATATTGGCAAGATTTCTTTGGGGTGAAGAATCTGACAAGAAGAGGGTTCATTGGGTGAATTGGAGTACGGTTTGTCAACCATTGGAAGAAGGAGGCTTAGGAGTATTGAACTTAAGTATGATTAATAGAGTTTTGCTAGGGAAATGGGTTTGGAAGTATGCAAATGACAAAGATTCTCAATGGAAAAAACTGATTTGTTGTATTCATAATGTCAGTATGGACTCTCTGTCTATAGGCAAGGTTGTTTCTCTTCAAGATTCATGGGTGTGGAGAGGTATTCGGAGTAACTATGAGAAAAAGGACGAGATTGGGGATTGTTTGAGATCCAAATCGAAGATCCAAGTGGGGAATGGTAGGTCAATTGATTTTTGGAATGATATTTGGGTTAATGGATCTACTCTTAAGATTCAATTTCCTAGAATCTATGCTCTGTCAACTAACAAAAGGGGAAAATTGGTTGAATTTGGTGGATTTGTAGCTAATGGTTGGGTTTGGAACATTCAGCTAAGGAGAAATCTTTGTGACTGGGAATTGGATCAGTGGCTTTCCTTAATGCTTTTGATTGACAACATAACACCGAATGAATCAGTGGATGATTTTCTGGGGTGGTCGGGGAAAGGGGATGGTTTGTTCTCGGTAAAATCCTGTAGAATGACTATCTCAAGCAGAACTGGAGGTCATTTTCAATGGAAGAAATGGGTGTGGTCCGGATTAACTCCTCCTCGAGTGGAAACATTTCTATGGCAGTTTACTCATCAGAAATTGGCGGTAAGAGTGGAATTGAAGAAAAGAGGGGTCAATCTAGAAGATGTTTTATGCCCTTTTTGCCACAAATATGAGGAATCAATTCGTCATCTGTTTTTTTCATGCTCGGTTGCAGAGGAGTTGTGGTATAGATTTTTAAGGTTTGGGACATCTCTTCGATCATGCCCCAAGATCCTCCTTCCTTTCTTTGCTCTTGGTCTTATCTAAGGGAGTGTTCTAATATTTGGAAGTTCATTCCAGGTGTTGTTCTATGGTCTATTTGGAAAGCTAGGAATGCAGTGGTTTTTGAAAACTGGACATTAGATAATTCATCCCTATTCTTCATTTCCAGGTTTAGGTTGGCTAAATGGTTTTAGCGAAATTTCCTCATGCTAATATTCAAGTTGACCTACTAGTAGGGGATCCATCGCTTGCAGACAATTTGCCTATAAAATCCTACAATAAGGAGAAGGTTCTTAACTGGTCTCCGCCTCCTTCGAATTTCTTTAAATTCAATGTTGATGGTGCGGTAAGAGGTGATGGGCTGCAGCGAGGTATTGGAGGAGTCTTGAAAGATTCAGATTGTTCTACTTTATATACCTTTTCTTTTGCGGTGGGACCTGGTCCTCCTATGTTAGCTGAACTAAAAGCTATTAAACAAGGGATTGATCTATTCATTTCTTCCGAATGGGCTCTGAAGGGAAGACTAATCCTTGAGACAGATTGTAAAACAGCAGTTGACTGGATTTTGATGCCATTTTCTGCCCCTACTTTTTTCAATACTTTAGTTGGGGAAATTGAGGCCTTAGTTTCTGCTAGGGGTATTATTGTTAGATGGATTCCTAGGGCATGCAATTGGGAGGCTGATAAGCTAGCTAAAGAGGGTATTGGTTGATGTTTGAGCTTTATGGTTGTTTTGGTTTGTATTTTATTTCGGACAGTTTATTTAGTAAGCTATAATCTTATGTAAACATGGTTTTAATATAATGAGGTACTCTTTTCCTCCTTCCGCTAGTTGCCTCTTTCACAAGAGTCAACTATGAGGGAGGTTTTTAATGAGACCTCCTATTCCTATCAAAAAAAAAAGTGTGTTACATAAACTATTCTTCACATTAAACACTAATGACATGACTAAAGAGTATAGACCAGACAAGTAAGCTAGAAGATATTCAGATAAAAGTTTGAATCAACAAAGGATGGAAGGAAACGGTTTATTATTCATCAAAGAATTAAAGGAATGTATTATCATCTGCAGGAAACAGGAAAAATTGCATAGTTGAACGCTGAGAGATTACATAGGACAATATGCATGCAAACTAACAGCATGATTTGTTCATATATGGAGTACCTTTTATATGGAAATAGATTCGAGGAGAGCGCTATTTTTCCATTCCATTCAAAGAATGGGAGTAGAGTAGTAAAGTAGTAATACTATTATTACTAATGTTGACTAAAATCAAGGAATACAAAATAATTAAACAAAAATATCATTGTAAAATTCTGTTATTTTACTTATACCACATAAGAAAATGGAAAAGAAAGGGTCAAGGGAACATTATCCAAATAACAGTGTCCCTACTATATTGCTGCTTCTACAGAATAGCCATTTCACGAACGAAACAAAGAACTACTCTTCAAACTATCAATTTCCATCAAACAGATTGTGACAGTCCAAATGATGTCAAAGGCACATTCAACAAGCAAAGAAGACAAACCTGTGGAACTCCAACCAAGTACTTCACAAGGGTTTTATAGACACCTGTTGCAGAACCAAGCTGCACTAGCTGTCTCCTCCTGATATGGTGTTTCATAATCACAGAATTAGACTCTTCCTTCATTACATATTAAAACTCGCAAAAAGGAAAACAATGGTGGCTCACCTTTCCATTTGTTGTTTCCATAGCAAAGCATATCGGTCACGTATGCTTCCACCAGAATTAATCAGAGCATCTACCTCTGCTTGCTTATTCCTCTCTGATCTCTCCTTTTGTTGTCTGATGAGTGTTCCTCGAAAATCTTGAGGCATGTAGGTCATAACTTCAACCCAAAGAAAATGCATCAGTTGATCATACAATATCTCCGCAACAATGAATGTCATCTGATAGGTCAAAAACACATACTTGTTTGCAGTGCACACTGTCGAATAAAAATTACGTTGGCTCTTGCCAAACATAGAAAATTCCCAAAGATGTGATAATTTAAAGCTATAGGATGTAAAGTATATAAATAGATAGAGCAATATGTCAAGCAAAGGGTATCAACCCTTGACAAAGCAAAATTGTACATAATGCCAACATCTTGCACCACATTCAATCAATGCTTCTTATAAGAACAAAAAAATAAAAAAAACAATGAACCACTTATGTAGGAGCTTTGATAATGGAACCCTCCGAAGCTATCCTTTGGCATGGTCATCATAATTCAATTTTTTCGGGAAAAAAAGGAATCAAGAAAAAGAAGAAGTCTATCATTTTTTCCTGTTGAGAGACCAAAATTCAGCTTGGTTTAAATCTTCTGAGATATTGAACTAAATTAAGTAGTGCACACTCCTGAAGTACACCTTCCAAATAACTGTGAGAATAAAAATGGAAGAACAAGCATTTAGAAACCCTCCTTGTCTCTACCAAGAGAAACAGATCTCTGAAAGCTCCTTCATAGGCACCGTCACACAAAGGGAAATGCCAAAAGAAACAGATCTTTTACTCCCAACATCAGCAAGAGAACATGAATTCATTAACTGCAATCTCCCTAATTCACTTCCAAAAAGTGCAACACTTCTAGAAATTCATTGAGAACCAGCAAGTTCACATACACTAATCAGACAGTTTTTAATTTCACCTGACCAATATTAAACCTTAGAAGAACATTGATGTGAAAAATAAAATAGCATCACTCCTTGTGATGCTCAGATATTAAAATGAAAAAATTATTTGAAGTAACAGCAAGTGTCGCACATTGGCACTTCTTTTTATGCTAAACCTGTAAAACACAGATAGATCATAACCCCATCATCCAACACCCTGAGCATGACTTGGATACATAAGTGGAAGAACTCAGCCTGAAGCCGTCATTCACCAAAGGAAAGACAAAAATAAAAGAGAGGGGTTTAACAACTGTTTGACTTCTGGGGCTTATATTAGAGATGAAAACTTGAATGACGTGATTCAGGGAAGCAGTAACACCACAACCTTGGTGAAGATGGAGAAATGAGTTTCTTATAGTGCGGAGACAAACTATAAATTTGGGTAAGGCCAGGTGAATTTTTAATTGAAAGATTCATAAGTTTATTCCAGTATAGGTTCTATGGGGGATAAAGAGATTGAGCCAGATTAATTTGAATTATATAAAATCAACAATTAAGAATTTGTTATGAAAATAGCTTTTTAAAATGAATTTATATGATATGAGGGACCTTTAACAGTATTTCAGTTGATTTTTAATTCGAAGTCGATGACAACGAAAATAATTCTTATATAAGACCATTTATTGCCATAGCCACTATCAGCCATGTCTATATCCTAAACTTTCAAAAATAGCTGTAACTCAACGTCTGTACTGTATGGTGGTACCCATACCTGTTATCCTATGCTTCCGGTTGTTAAATAAAGGCAAAAGGAAGGAATAGAACTAAAGTACAAAGGAAGTATATGATAAAAAAATGCTAAGAAACAATGGAAAATGCTTTCTCATCCTATAGGACCTTATTAAGTTCCACCTCTTTGACCTCTCTTAGCCATCCTCTTCATGATCTAGACTCTACAAAGCAACCCAATTATCCAAATAATCAATGAAATTCACACTGTACACAACAAAAGTTTCTTCATATTAGTAACAGATCAAACATTCATGGTGCCATTACATCTTCTTGAGATGTCATTTACACTAACATGAGATTAATCTTTTAATGAAAGGTGGGTCCTAACTTCCATGACCACATCATGCCTACAAAGAAGCTTCACTCCCTAAAATTAAAATTCCCCTTGACAACTTCTTAAACCAATTATAGCCTTAAAAAAAGAAAAAGAAAAAGAAATAACAATTATAGTCATTACTGTACTCAACCACACATGTCCCAAAATGATGCCAGCAGCACCTAGCTAGCATCATGATCATCTATGCACAAGGTATGAACCATAATGTCAGTACTCTGCAGTAACTTATTTCACAACAGGTTAATAGCTATAAGTCTTCACACCCAATCCACTAGCAGAAATTAATAGCGTTAATCAAAGAATGTAGTCCAAATCCAAATGAGTACACCTGGAAAATTCCCCAACTAAGCAAATGAATATGAAACAGTAAAATTCTTGAATAACTCTTAACCATTTTAACTAGTTTAATTTTGGTATCTAACCTAATTGTTCTAACTGAATCCTTGACCTTATTAAATTAGCAACCAATTTGGTCCTTCCAAAACCAACGGACTATAAACCAAGAGCAACACATCAACCCATGTGGCATTTGAAGGAAAGTAAAAAATCCATCCTTAAGAACTCCATATCAAATGCAAAAGGAAGACAAGTTGGAGAATTAGCAATTATCATGGTTACTTAGTACGAAGTTACAGAAAAAGCTTTGAAACAAAATTTTATTTGAAATATAATAACTCAGATACAATGTTTACACCCACATAAACAAGCCTAAGAATTTTGCATTCATTCAAGCATCCATAATTAACACACAAACAGAGCGGACCTGTGTTGAATATTCGTTCTGAGTTTCTTGATTGGAAAGACTCCAATATCCTCAGAGTTGTCTGAAGTTTATCCTTGAGCTTCCCAAGAACAGTAGAAAATTCTGCAACCTCAGATGTTGATGACTGCTGAAGCTGCAATAACAAAGCAGTTATGTGATAAATTAGAAATGAACAGAAGTGTTATAAACTATGGTAAGGAAAAAAATGCAGAAGTCAATTTTGAGGGAACTTAAAATGCAATAAAATATAAAATAATATATATATGACAATATGTATGTATGTCCAAAACTAAGGGGGGAAATTAGATAGGAAAAGTTCATGTTTCTTACAACAGGAGGCCAGTGAGGTCTTTCAAGTAGAAACAGAATTTCTTCAATATGTTCTCTATTTTTCCACATGTTCTCATCCATTTTATGCGGAGGCTTACTGTCAGCTTCTTGTATTAATAAGCTTTCACCTAGAGCATCAAAGAAGAGAGAAAATGGCAAACACATAATCGTTCCCTTGGGATTGAATCGTGTCATGTTATCATAATTGTTCCATAGGAAGAAAAGCAAACCCTGTGATCTTATTTATGTTATCTATAAGCAATAGGATTATGGTTATGCTTTTGATTTTTCTCTAGCCTCTGCTTTAGAACATCTTTAAGAAGAAGCAAGCACGCTAGCAAATAACACAAAGTCATGCAGATAAAAGAGGAAGCAAATATCTTCAACAAACATTCTTCGTTTCAGAGATAAATATTTAATAGTTAGTTAAATAAACCCTGAATAAATTTTGGATATAATTGTTTATAACCCCAAATAGAAACAAGTTCTCATACTTTTACTTCCTTGCATTATTTTTTCCTAAATTTCCGATTTTCAATTTCCAATCCGAAGAGTACGGAAAAAATACAGGAAAGTTATGGTAATAGCAATAGCTAATAACTCTAAAATAAAATAAACATTAAAACACCTTCAGTCGCGGAAAGCCTTCGATCAAATCCTGGCCGAAAGATCGAATCTGAGAGGAAAGACGAGATACATCATCGGGGAGTGGATCGAATGGGTACTTGTCGTAGTAAGTTGCGAGAAACGTCCTTGTTATGGGCACCAGACCCCCCGTTGAAGCCATTAAAAAAATTACTAATATTTCTGATAACTGCGAACCGTGTTGGCTATTAATATAGAATCAAAGAAGGCTCAATAGTTTTGTATTTGGTTGGATTTAAATGGAATGTATCTTCTTCGCCAGTAAGATTAACAGGCAAGCAAATTTCACCGCTACCAATCATGAGTTGGGTAGGTCGATTTGACGGGCTACTTTCCCAATACTATTTTGTTAAGTTTTTATACTATTAAAAGTTATAAAATAATTCTCTAACTGTTTATTATGTTCTAAATTCATCATTTTCCGTTAAAAAATTAAAGACAGTCAGAATTAGATGTCAACATGTTAATTGAGAGATGATATTTGTTTGATATTATTAGATCATATTTTATTATTTCTTAATTAACAGGTTAACGTCCAGCTCAGATTGTCATCAATTTTTTAACGGAAAAATATAAGTTTGAAACATAATGAATAGTCGAATGACTATTTTGTAAATTTTAATAATTGAGACTCAACAAAGCAATACCTTATAGTCAATAGATTATTTTGTATCTCTTAATAACTAGAGGACTCAATAAAATAATATCATATAGTCAATGAACCATTTATATATTTTACCCAAAAATAAACTACACAATATATCATCAAACTGTTAAAAAAATTATTTTGATTCTTGAAAAAATATTTACAAATTAGTCACTATTTATTCATAGTCAGATTTACAAAAATAAGGAATTAAAATAATAAATTTTAATAATTAAATGATCAATTATGTAATTAAGGTTATATAATATGATGTAGGTGTGCAATTTACAACTATAGCAGCAATATCTTTAGAGAATGAGTCTGTATGGTTTTAAAATATAAAGGTTATTTTCATTTTCTTAGAAAATAAAAAACATTGAAGAAAATATATTTGATTGTAAAATTAAAAAAACAAAAATAAGTGAAAATATGAAATATAAAATATAAAAATAAATATGTTTTCAATATTTTCATTGAAATATTTTGAAATTTTAAAAAATGGTAAAACACAAAATATAGATTTTTATGATACTGTAATTACTGAAAATGTTTCTATATATTACAGGCGAAAACTTTCAAACCTCAACTGGTTGACATGAAAAATTGTATGAATCTTTGAATATAATATCTTTGGTTGAGTAATTGCTAATTTACCACGCCTTCATGACTTTGAAAAAAATAATAAGAATTAGGATATTCATTTTTGAAAGTATTTTGTAATTTAACACGTTTAGGATATTAAACATATTATAACTTTAAAGGTTTGAAAATTACTTTTTTTATGTGTACAATTTTTCAACCAGATCCAACTGAGTTATTCGCCACTTAGGTCCATAATCCATAAATGAAAACAAACATAAACATGAATGCACAATCAACTTGATTGATCAATGATCCAGCAGCCAGCTATGATTTGCCAAAAAATGAAAAGGAAAATTATGAAATAAGTAACTTTTCGGTGCTTAAAAGAGCATTGCATCCATAGAAGCCAGAACATTGAAACCTTTCTTGCATTGCAAGGGAAAAGAGATGGAACTCCCCTTTTTCCTATCCTCTTCTCAACTGTCAAAGGCTTTGTTGTGAAACAAGCCTTTTCTCGACTTTGGAGAATCGGCTGGTGAATCGTCCCAATATCCTCGAGTTTTCATGGAAAAATGGGCAAACTCCAGCCTCGTCGCACCGTTTCCTCACCCTTACTGTCTTGTCTTACATCTCTTTCACCTTCATTCTCTCCCAGGTATCTCGGCCTTCCCTTTCACGCCCACTCCTGAAATCAATCGCAGCACTCCACAACATGTTCCTCCTCACCCTTTCTTTCGTTATGGCCCTTGGCTGCCTCGTTTCCATCTTCTCACAGGTGCCTAACTTCAACATCCTGGTTTGCTTCCCCAGAGGGACATCACCATCGGGACCTCTCTTCTTTTGGGCATATATCTTCTACCTCTCCAAGATTGTTGAATTCATGGACACCCTATTGATCATCCTCAGTGGATCCATGAAAAGGTTATCGTTTCTTCACGTATACCATCACTCCATGGTGGTGATCATGTGTTACATCTGCCTAGACAGCGTTCAGTCTTCCTTCTCGGTGGTGCTCGTCACCAACTGCGTGGTGCATGTGGTCATGTACACCTATTACTTGATGTGCACACTCGGGATGCGCCCCAGATGGAAGAAAACGGTGACCGATTTTCAACTTATGCAATTCTGGGCAAGCTTTTTAATCATGGCCATGCTTATCTTCTACCACTTCACCGCTGCGGGCTGCTCCGGAATTCTGAGTTGGTGCTTCAATGCAGTCTTCATCCTCTCTCTTCTGTACTTGTTCTCAGACTTTCATGCCAAGAATTACCCCAACAACGCCAAGGTCTTCAAGGGTAACTAGACACCCATTTAATCTGTAGGCAATATTGTTTAAGAGTGATTCAGCTTAAGCAGGGGGGAAAATGATATCGCAAAAGTGTAGCATAATAATTTTCTTTTACTATTTCAATTCTTCAGTATGCATGTATCTTAATATCATTTAATTCAAGAGTTTAATAGTTTATTTATTATATGTTCTTTAATTAATGTATGATTCAGCAGGTATATGCTTGCAATTATATTCTATATCTAAGAAGTGAATTTTGGAATTAGGAAGTGATTAAATGGATGAATAGTTGTATAGTGAAGTTTAAATCAAGGCAGAAATGAAAATTGATGTCGCTGTCTACAATGAATATGGTACGCGGGTGAGTAAATAAGTGTGTCAGGAGGATGTTTGGTGTTGTTCCCGTTGTCCTTTTAATCGTCAATATCTTATTTAAGATTGCAAGCTTTTGTCATTTTCATTACACTAACTTTATGTTGGGTAAAAATATTATAAATCCATAAATATATTAAATCATTAAAAATATGATACATGAATTTTCTATATATATATATATATATATATATGTGTGACTAAATAATTCGAGTTAGAAAGGAGGTCGGCCATGACAGACATACTGGCTGAGTTAGAAAAAAAGAAGAAAAGTAGGAAAAACGATTTTGGGACTAATTACTCATAGGTCCCTAAATTATTAGTAAAAGTCAATAACTTTATCACACGTCATCATAACTTTTTAATTTCTTTAGATTTTAAAATTTTAATAAATAATTATTTAGATTTTTTTATTTTTTATTTCTTAAAGATCATTTAAATTGTTGTAAGATATATTGGAATAATGATATAATGTATAAAGGTTAAGTGTTATTCTTTTCATTTATTTGTATCTAGTTTAGTTTGATTTTTATTTAATATTTTACATCAATTACTTTTTTTAATAAAAAAATTGTGTGTCTTGTTTTTAATAGTTCGTATTTTTTAATGAAGAAATACTGGATTTTTATTCGCCACTATAAAATCAGCTGTAACTCAGATTCTTTAGGTCTAGAGATTTACTGGTAGATCGATTTGATTCTAAAGAATATATAATCAATGCAGTCATTACATCTACCTTCATTCATGTGTAATTGGTTTAGGCACATTTATTCGTTGAAACACTTGCTATATATGAAGTTGCCTGAACCTAATACAACATATCTTTGCAGATATCTTGTGTTGGTAATGCTCAATCCCATATAGTATTGGAAATACTATTGGGAATGGTATTTATGGTTTGGATTTCCCACTTCCTTGTTGAGTGAAAGAGAACAAGGGGGATTCTCGCGCACCGCCGCCGTCGCCGTCTCGTCTCGACACGGCTCGGCTCGTGGTCGTGGTTTCTAAAGTTCTCTCTGTGTGCTTTCCAATCAGAAGTGCAATACCATCAGCAGTCCACTCCAGTTTCGGGTGTACGAAATTCGGAGCGACCGTGTTAACCTCGAGGGACGGTCCGCCTACTGCAGCGATTACATACATCGGGGCGAATTCGTTTATAAGGTAGTGGCTATACCACGACACGGTTTACCAATCTGTTCTTTTTCAATTATTGTTTATCTTTCTTGTCAGTGCTAACGGTGTGGTTTTGCAGTCTATTTTACCAATATCTTGCTCCTCGCCCAACAACAATGTTTCAGAATCGTCGATGCATTGATGGGGGTTCGACATTATTTATGCCCCCAGCATCTGCATCTAAAACGTATTTTCTTAACATCATTTAAAACTGAACTTGCCTCCTGAAAATCCTGGGAAACTACTTGTCCTAAGGCATTCTATTTTAATAAGCTTTGCAATCAGACAGTGGTCTAAAACAAGGATAATCGGTTATAAATGGTTTTGAATTAAATTGCTAGGGTGTTAAGTGGCATTTTCATAATCTGAGTAGTACTACGATAATATTTTTGTTCTCAAAAGTTACTGAAATGTTTTGTAGTTGTAGAATACAAAGCTAGTATTCAGTCAAATCTGTTTCAAGAATCGCATAACACATTATGTGTGATTATTTTTAAAATTTTGAGAATAGAAAAACGCCTTGTATAATAATCCACCATAACTTTTATATGACTGGTTAAGTTTTACCAGGACAAGATTGGCCTACATTTAGATTTAGTGTTATTACTCTTGTTCACCCATTGCGTTGGTCTTTTTTGAATTGTAAGAAAACTAAAAAGTTCGTATGGTCCTGTTCCACTCGACCTAATATCAAGGAATGATGGCAACAATGATTACATAAACTTACTCCTGATGGTGATATGATGGCTGATGTTGTCTTTGCAGGTCCGACAGATGTTGAAATTCTTGATAAACTCTTTGAGCTTGGATATCTAGATGCAGGCATGTATGGGGAGAGCAGAACCCTGTTGAGAACATTGTTGCAGATCAAAGTCCCCTTATTGGGAATGGTTTGCAAAGTAAATACTTAGATGGTCCTTAGTTTTAATGGTAGCATTTCAGGTAACTCTCAACACCAGCCAGTAGGAGACTCGAACTTTATTTGGATCGATGGGGCATGGCTAAAATTTAGTTAAAGTAGCCAATATATATACATATATATATATACATATATATATATATATATATATATATATATAATTTATATGGTCTGCGAAATGACAGTAAGATCTTATAGGTACGATGAGGAAGAAAGGAATTGAAATGTAAAATTTAGGATAAGGATATAATTATAAATATATTCTGGGGTGTTGTCAAAGTCCATTTTTCCTTTCCCATCCCAATCTCTCCATTTCCTAGTAATTTATGGATATCTTTGTGACAATGTATGGAGTCTAGATCTGTATGACACCTGTAAATGCACAATCGTAATTCGTAACTCATCCTCGTCATAGAAGAAGTTTGAACTGGGACAGGCTGAGTGGCAGACAAATAGAGTCCCATTTTTGTATCCTTCTTTTGCAACACGTCAAAAAGTATCAAGAGACACGCATGAAGGCCCCCACAGGCCACAGTCAACAACATATAGCTTGCTTTGTTAAGGTTGCAGTGTTAAAACTGTTGGTTTTCATTCTCTCTCCAAGAAACAAATGATAAAAGCAGAGAAGATTTGTTGTTTGGTGCATGCAAATTTCCATTGAACATTGGCCGAGGAAAGAAAGGTGATAAAGGGGAAACACCCACCGTATTCATCAGCATCAGGTTCAGGTGGTACAAATGATTCACATAATAATTTCATCACAACAATAAACTCGACAAGATCGAAAGTGGGTTCTCATCTCAAAGGCCAATTTCTGCATTTCTCTTTTTAGTATTACGAGCAAATCTATCCTTTTATCTTCCCAATTTCTTAGCCATTTCCAGCTCTATGGGGATTCTGAGAGACCTAGTTGCAGAGGCAATTTGGCATTCTGTCCACCTCCACCAGTACAGCTTTGAAATGATCGGCCCTTGGGAGTGGAGGCGGCCAGTATGTCAAACAGGCTCTGTAAATATGTCACTGAGAAACCTTAAGAGATATTAATGAATCAAATACTCATTCATTAACCACGTGATGTTCTTTATGCCTCTGATCCTTTTACATTTCTTATCTATTGCTGCTTCAAGTATGTTGCAACTGCCAAGCCCACCACTGTAATATCTTTCTTGTCTTGCTTCCTCTTCAATTTGTTGTTGGAACCAGTTTGCAGGCAATGCATATAACCTACACAAGTTCAGGTGGACAACCAACGTAATATCCTGATCAATATCATCCCTTAGGTAAGATTGAAGGTTAGAGTTTTCTCATCCATGAAATCTTCAGTTTCTTTAACATCTTTTGCATGAGTTCTAAAAATAAAGCAGCCATTATTTGCTGTAAACAAAAAAAAATGATGACAGACAGAGTAGGTTTGAACATGTTTAATGTATATATCATCAACAGTAAGGTAACCCCATAGCTTCAGTCTGTCTTTTTGACCATTTATATTATTTGGATTCGGAGGAGCAATTTGCTTGATATAAATCCCAGACCTCCATTTTCACTTCAAATAAGTTGTGTGCGCGTGTGTTTTCTTTCTGGCCAGAATGTTTTCGGGGGAGTTTGCTCCATCCTACGTAGACATACATGTCTAAAATATTTCTGCAGTAGAAAGTTTGGAGTTCTTGCATTTTCTCCATAATTTTGTATAATAATAAATAATACCATTATTTTTAAAGATCAAAGTGAAATTTTAACATAACAAACTGTTTCTTCATGTTATTTTTCTAAGATTTTTTAGAAATATTCATTTTTTTGAATGAGGACTAATTTGACAAAAAACTTCACACAGAAAGTGGCTTTTGAATGCATTAGAAATGGGAATTTCATTAGAAAGTGGTTAGTAAATGTAGAGGCGATGACGATACTAATTGATAGGACATGATTTGAAAGAAAAAAAAAGAGTTAATTTTATAGTAGGAAAAGACTAAAAGCTTATAAATGGGCTGTGATTTAAGTGGGGTTTTGGATTTCAACGGGCCTTTTCTTAACATAAGCCTCAACAATAAACAGCCCAAGTATGGGACAATTTATGTACGCTAATAATAAAAAATCTCACTCTTCACATTTTATTTATTAAAAAAACATTTGGTGACATTGTTTCCAAGAGAGTGAGACTCCTAATTTTACATGTCTCAAGTACAAATAAATAAACATTGGACAGTTTGGGAATTTACTATAAAATTTTTGCACCTGACTACACATGTTTGGATCTCTTTGTAGGCTGAGCAAAGAGCTCGTGTAGAAAGTGAGAAGCTGAGGCAACAAGAGCGTGAACAGATTGCAGAAAAGAGGAAGATAGGTCTGGTTTGTCATTGAACATTATTGCCGTTAGTGTTCAATGCAGAAGGAAGTAAATAGTTCTTATTGCTTTCTGCTTCTGTTTTCAGACTCTCAGAGCTCGTGTGGCTGCCAAGGCTGAAGAAAAGAAGCTGGAGTTGTTGTTTCTTCAGTGGCGTGAGCCCCACTAAAAGCTTAGCAATTTTATAAGGCATTTATGTATTATCAATTTTAGTATTATATGGTGTGGTGTCGGCGCCTTTGGGGCGTAAAATCTTTTCTACTTTAATATTGCTTTGGCAGTGAATGACTCTAGCATTAACACCCTTTCTGCATACCCATCCGTTGCAGGTTATTTTTAACTTTGGTCGAGTAGTATCCATATTCACAATTTCATCGAGACGGATAAGTTTCTGTTCAAGTGTATATTTGTGTTGAAGCATCCAAAGACAAATTCCTGCTTTCTGGGTAGATTGCAATAGTTCTTTGATAAATTTGAACTAATTTTGATTGCTTCTTGAATGTGTTTCAGGACCAAAACTGAGCCTCCAATAAATTATTTGCCAACTAAACCATTGTATGAAGATGCGGCCAAAGATGAGCAGCAAAAAGAACAAGTAGGTTCTCTTCCTTATTTCTTAAGGCATACTGAAAAACGTTATAGCATATAAAGAAAAACCAACTTTCTTCCCCGTTTTTTTTCCTGAAGCTAGGGTGTCATTTTTTCTTGGGCTATCGGTCTTTCTTTTAGAGGGGCAGGGATAGTGTGTATCAATTTCTTTTACCCACCTACTCTTTCAATTATTTTCTTGAATACCCATTTTTTGGTGGTGACCATAAATTCGGTTTTACCAAAACCTGAATTTCAAAGAAGGGAATTTCAGGTTTTAGTAAGCCGAATTTGTGGTCCCCGCAAAAAAAATGGAATAATTGAGAGCTTGTGTATTTTGGAAATTAATTTTGGGGGTGTGGGTAGAAAAACCATCTGTTATGACTCTGAGGGAACATCAATGCACTCTTTTAGGAAACGAGTTCCCTGCAAAATCAATTGTAAGAGGAAGTTGGGCAGTTGCTTTTCATCCCAATCATTGGAAACATTAACAATCATCTTCCTCACACCTCTTTTTGACCTGTTTTTTGTTTCCTCTTCTAGGAGGAAACTAATATGGACAGAATTTTCCTTGAAATACTTGAATCGGAATTTGAAATTGTTGCACTCAAAACTTGAGGGAAAGTAGACTTTGAATTGGAAAAAATACATGGTTACACTCGGTGAAAAGAGGGGCTTCGGGCATTGGGGTTGTGTAAATCTTGTATGTAGTCTTTGATTAATATGTGATGCTAATGTTCATGGGATGTATATATTTGCGTTTGCATAACAGGAGTTTCTAGAATGGAAGGCAGCTAGCAGGGAGGAATAATCTAAATATCAAAAACAGATAGGAGGAGTATGTTGGAAACGTGGAAAAGGAGCTGGAGAGGTGGCAAAATGCCCGAAAAGCTAGGAAAGCAAACAGTGACATGAACCTACAAGAAACCATGGACAAAGAATTGGATAGCCACAGACTGGAGCATGGTCCAAAGAAGAGAAAAATACCTGGTAGAAACAACAATGAAGATGAGGAAGATGTGGAAGATATCAATGTCGGGGAGGATGATATGATGGATGATGTGTTGGATGTTGATGATAATGGTGGGAGGGAAGATGAGACGGCCAAAGCAGAGCCTGGAAACACTAGTCCAGTCCCTGATAATGCTGAGCAGCCATGATCTAGACAATGCAGGTCAAACGTATACGAGGTCTTTTGTATTTTTAGTTTTTGTTGTAGCATTCATTTTTGGCAAGATTTTGCTTTTTGTTTCATCGTTAACCCATCTCTAGCTTAGATTTGATATGTGCTCTATTTATGCCAACTACTTATAACATTATAATCTAAATAACAGTTGCCATTATGAAAAATTACGAATTTGTCTTATAAATTTTGATACGAAAATAGTTCATGCGGACATGTATAAGAAACATAATTTCGCTTGTCAGTCTTACCTGTAAAATAAGGTCCTTCCATTTCTTCAGAAAAATGTAGTCCTATTATTTATTAATATGTAAATTTGTGAATGACTATTAAGGTGATATTAAATACGCAGGAAAAAAAAGTATAAAAACAGTTTTAGAACTAAACTTTATTCAAACAAAAAGCATTACTTCTGGTTCTAATCATATATATTGCTAATCAAACAATAAATTTTAAAAACTCACAATAGATATCAGAAAAGCCCCGAAAAGAATATAATTCTTGGCCTAACAGAAAAATAGTATGAAAAGCCACTCAATGCAAACAATATCTTATAGCAGATGGATAAACCCAAAAAAAAAAGCTTCCGAATGCAACCAAAATGAATCGACAAAGACACAAGGACTGAATAATACAGATTTCAGAATCCAAATCAGAAGCACTTCCGGTGAACGATGGCTGGTCCGGATTCATCATACTCACTCTTGGAAATCCACATCTGCGCATAGAAAAATGAAGGAAAAAAAATAAGTTATGGAGGTCGAAACGCATATATATGCATGTAACACAAATGTGGGACCAAGCAGACTAGGTAACATAGCAGTAAAGTTACCTGCTGGAAGGTACTAAGAGATGCTAAAATAGATCCCCCAATCCAGACACTGTATTTTCTCTCAGGAGGTGCAACCACCTTAATCTTCATGCTACTAGGGGCAAGCGCTGTGATTTCCTTGCTCATCCTATCAGCAATACCAGGAAACATGGTTGTTCCGCCACTAAGCACAATGTTTCCATATAGATCTTTCCTGATATCGACATCACACTTCATGATGGAGTTGTATGTAGTTTCATGGATTCCGGCAGCTTCCATTCCAATCAAAGAGGGCTGGAAGAGTACTTCAGGACAACGGAACCTCTCTGCTCCGATTGTAATCACTTGACCATCAGGCAATTCGTAACTCTTTTCAATGGCAGAGCTACTCTTGGCAGTCTCTAATTCTTGCTCGTAATCAACAGCAACATATGCAAGTTTTTCTTTAATGTCACGAACAATTTCTCGTTCTGCACTTGTCGTGAAAGAGTACCCTCTCTCGGTTAAGATCTTCATCAAGGAATCTGTAAGATCACGGCCAGCAAGGTCTAACCGGAGAATAGCATGGGGGAGGGCATAGCCTTCATAAATTGGCACTGTGTGGCTCACACCATCACCGGAATCCAAGACGATACCTATTCAAACAAATATATATATAAATTCTTCATGCCAATTTCCATAGCATCAATAGAAAAACGCAAAATGATAACAGCTAAAGTAGAAGCAAATCAAGTTTTGTCCTAAAAAGATACCTGTTGTACGACCACTGGCATAGAGCGAAAGAACTGCCTGAATAGCAACATACATAGCTGGCACATCAAATGTTTCAAACATAATCTGGGTCATCTTCTCCCTATTAGCCTTAGGGTTAAGTGGTGCTTCTGTAAGAAGTACTGGATGTTCCTCAGGAGTAACACGAAGCTCATTGTAGAAAGTATGGTGCCAAATCTTCTCCATGTCATCCCAATTGCTAACAATGCCATGTTCGATAGGATATTTCAAGGTAAGGATACCTCTCTTTGATTGGGCTTCATCTCCTACATAAGCATCCTTTTGACCCATTCCAACCATCACACCTGTGTGGCGTGGTCGACCAACGATACTGGGAAACACTGCCCTTGGGGCATCATCTCCAGCAAAACCAGCCTGCAAGTATAAAGACAAAGCAGGCTTCAACATTTGTATATTTCCATATTTGCATTAAAAAACACAAAACCAACCCAATGCACGACAGAAAAATAAATTTAATATAAACATCATAAAGACGATTTACTAACCTTAACCATTCCAGTTCCATTGTCACAAACAAGAGGTTGAATATCCTCATCAGCCATCTCTAGTTAGCCTGGACAAGGAAATGGATTAATGTTCAATCAAACTATATATCCAGGAAACCAAGAGGCTAAATTCAAAGAACGACAAGTCAAATGTATTTCTTAAGTCTGTACATATCTCATCTTTACTCTTTATGGCACGTAAATTACTAAAAGCATAAACTTCCTATAAAATTTAAATAAGAGCTCAATTTCTGAAGAAAGCATAAAACTGAAACTACCCAAGAATTAAACGCCTATTACAACATACTCAACTAATGATCCTATACTAGATTCTACAGAATCTTTACAAAAACCAATCAAAACTTCATCAAGATATAGATGAACTGTAAAGAGATCAACTTGACACGCTGAGAAAACCTCATAAACACGTATAAAGTTGACAATTTGACATCCAATAATCCGTTAGGAAGAGGGATCACAAGGGATATCATTAGATATCCGGAAATATTTAGACATAGATTAGAAGAAAAAAAACAATACCTTGTTTAAGCAAAAACGATAATCTTCTCTGCGGCTCTTGAAAGGAGTGGAAAATTAAATTTTTTCAACAGAGAAGCTGGGTGTATAAGTGAAATGTTGGATAATAGTATAATACTCTGATTTATATATAGCACAAATGAGAGAGAGAGAGATGTACATGGAATTCAACCCAAATTCAGCCCTATTTGGCAGCTGATTAAAAAAAGTTTTCATATGGAAAGAAAAGAAAAAAGTTAAAACGGAATCTCTTACACAGAGGTGTTTTGCTGGATTTGTGTCCGAATCCAAACAAACTGACAAAGTGATGCGTAGCCGTCCAAAAGCCGATGTGGAGTTTAGTCAGGTATGAGGTGGACATTCTTTAGACTTAATGCGACATTAACAACAGGGCGGCTAAAGTTAGGGTGGGCGGTGCCTCATGCCTACCATGTCTATCAATCAATGACTGCTTCTATATTGGTTGGAATTGGCCCCACTACTCCTTTATTTTTTTGGTAAACTACATTATCATTTAAGTGTGATTAGATGTTTATTTTAAGCATTATAAATTTAAAAATATTTTAATTATAAAAAATTAATAATAAAGTGATCACTTCATCACTCAATATTAATCATATTCAAAATAACAACAAAAATGATTCAAATTTTAAGCTAATGAAGGTCTTTTCATTGAAATTGATGGGATGATGCAGATTTTTTATTATGACATTAAATTATTATACATTATTGTAGTTGGGTTGTCAACTTGATCAGTTTATTTAGTCAGCTCATGGTGAGAGTTTAATGACATACCCCGAAAATCACACACTTCAACAAACTTTGCATACATTTCCGTATTAACGTCTGAATAATGATTTTGAGAATCAACCATCATTTCAACGTCATCATTGTTTGAAAGTTCGAACGATATATAAGTTAACGAAAACAATGATGTTGGAAATTTGTACTGAAGCGACGACATTCTTCTAATACTTCCAACATGAACCTTTATTGAAATCTTCGTTATCAGCTCTTTAAGAGTTATATTTTTCTTGAATGATATTTTAATATAATGATTTGATACGAAAACAATGTCGGTTTCATCTTCCCGAATTTTTCTATCATAATAAACAATAGTTGAAATTCGCGTCATTCTTAGAGTTTGAAAGTGAGACAATCTTATATATGCTAAAAAAACTGAAACAAGCCTAATTAAATAAATAATATATGGATTAAAATATAACGTAATAATCTTTTTACACATAAACGTAAATAATTTAAATAATATAATTTTATATTTTACTGTATCGGTAAAAATATTTTGACTTATGCTCCTGCTTTCCAATTTTACAACCATAAAAATTAATTTAAAACAATTAATACAATATTTTTTTCAAATAAACATATATAATTATAAAAAATTATTATAAAAAATTATTTTACAACGAAAGATTGAACGAACTTCTGAATCAAATATAAGAGGATTGTCGGGTGATATTTACGGATTGAGAGGATTGTTGTTTGATGTTTTCGGTTGAGAGGATTGTTGTGTGAAAGTTTACGGGGTGATCGTTTTATTTATAGCCGAGAGGAAACGCTTTAAAGCTGAAAAATGGGGATACAATTATAAAATGCGCGACTCATGCACCGCGCCTATTTGACGCGTGTGTCAGATGGCAGGAAAGCGCGACCTATGCACCGCGCCTTACCCTACTTGGCATAAGGCGCAACCCATGCATCGCGCCTTATCCAGCGTGGCGCCATGTCAGCATAAGGCACGATGCATAAGCCGCGCCTTACCCCACGTGGTGCCACATCAGCGTAAGGTGTGGTACAGGGGCCACGCCTTTCTGAAAAGGATGTTATATCAGGAAATATACCTGCATAGGTGCCTGACATAGAAATAAAAAATAGAGTGATTTTTGGGGAAGTTTGCAAAATTTTTAGTTATAATTAGGGTTCTTTTACTTATAATTTTTTAATTATATTTATGTCTAGTTTACTTAAATTTCTCTAATCATAATACTAACTTTACAAGTAAAATAGAAATAAATAGAATAACATATATTTAATATTTTAATGAATAAAAATTATTCAGTGTTAAAATTTTAAGGAATTAGTAATGGAATGTGTTCTTGAGAAATGAAGTCTTCAGTTTTTCTTCAAATGTTAACATTTTGAATTATTATTTCGGTGAGTATTTTATGACACAATAATTATTTATTTATTTGTGATCTCACGCGTTTTTCTATTAGTTTTGAAGTTTTTTAAAGTTAAAAAAGTTTAATTAATTTAATTAAAAAATTATATAACTTTTTAGTATAATTACTTATTTTTTATTTCACATCAAATATCAAATAAATCTATTATAAGATTGATTTGTTTAACATATTTTTTTTTCACAAAATTTTTATATTTTGACAATACGTTATTATATAAATATTTTTTGTTACCTTCCGATTTCAAGACTTTGTCCTGATTAATTTGAATTAACTCGTGTCATACCTAACTTTGATGGATGAATCTCTCGATGATGAGAATATTCTATATATACAAGGTATTTAACTACATTGATTTTCGATTTTCTCGCTTAATTTAATTTTCTTTAATTCAATTAGCTGACTAATCATGTTTAACTGTTTAAGCAACCCAAGATAGACTAAGCAGCTAACCAAAATTGATTTTTTTTTTGAAAGATAAGTAATGAAAATACCTAATTGTTTCTATCAATGAACTATTTATTGCTTTTATAAGTCAAAAAGAAAAGGGTAAATTACATTATTGATCATTTTTATTTAAATTTTGTACATTTTTTTCTTTGAATTCAAAATATATAATATTTGGTCACTTTTTCTTTTTATTTAATTAAGATGTAATATTGTCGGGGCTTTAAGAGATTTTTGGTGTGACACAATGAATATATAAGATTAAAAAAAGGATAAACTACACAAATAATCACTAATATTTGAGTAAATTTTTGTTTTTCCAACTGAAATTTATCCTTGGCAATCTTACCCTTGGTAAGCCCCTTCTTGCTCTTCATCTTCTCCGTTGATCGGAGCAAGGTGTAAACATAATATGGCTCTAGAAAACCAAGCCATTAAACGTCAGAAATTAAATGGAGAAAGACCGAGATAGGCGCTTAAATGCTTCTTCACCTTTGCATGTTTTATCTACTGTTATTTGTAACTTTCTCTAAAGGGTTATCTCTTTGTTGCTTCCCTCTATACCTCATATCCTAAATGTGAAATTTCATAACTTTCTCCAAAAGTTAAAATGTGACCTTACCAGTTGCAGTTCCAACATGAGCTCTTCCACTGCTAAAACTGTTGACAAATTGCATAGAAAGATTTGTTTCTTGTGAAATTTTGTTTCTGCTTTCCTTGAGGTCCTATGTTCGAGAACAAGTACATCATTTGTTTCAATGGCAACAATGATATAAAATTTCCAATCATCTAACAGAGATTTTTCACCCCCTCACAGTTCATCAAATATAAAAGAAGAAAATCACTTCATTTTGGCTCCGACAACGATTTGCTTCTTAACACGCCCTTGTTTCCCTTATTCTTTCATAAAATCTTTCTAACTAATCAGATTAATAATGCTGCTACTATCCCGTTGCCACCGCTCAAATTGACAAGGCCTAAAGAGCTTGAATTCGAAACAACACAGAGGATGTGCCCAGTTAGAGTGAAGAGCACCGCAAAGCTTGAGGAAGAAATGATGGCTAAAATTCCGAAGTTCAGAATAAGACCATTGAACAAGAAGGTATTGTTTATATACCGTCTGGTTTATGTGTATTAAACTGATCCCTCTTTGTTCTTTACCGTTTAAGATTTTTCTCCAATAAACTTTCTTTAATTCGTTGTCCATTTTTTCTCCGGTGTAGATTTTTGAAGCTCCACCACCACCTTCAATACCAAAAAAGTACTTCAAAGCCTCCGAAATTTTAGGTAAACTAGGCCAATAAGCTTTCTTTAATTCGTTGTCCATTTGCGCTGCAGTTACGCTTACACCTTGCTCCGATCAACGGGGAAGATGAACAGCAAGAAGGGGTGTACTAAGGGTAAGATTGCAAAGGATAAATTTTAGTAGATAAACAAAAACTTATTAAAATATTAGTGACTATTTATATAGTTTACCTTGTTTAATTTTATATATTCACTTTATCACGTCATCAATCACTTAATAATAATTAACTCTGAATGACCACATATTAATTAAATAAAAATAAAATATTATCAAATATTATATTTTTAAATTTAATAATAAAAAATATATAAAACTTAAACAAAAGTAATTAATCTTGTAGTTTACCAAAAGAAAATTAATTATAAATAGAAATAGTCACGAGTTTATTATATTTAAGCTTGATAACTGAAGGAAAATGAATAATTAAAACAATATAAAATTTTCAAATGTCGAGTATTAATAATTGATTGTGTATAAGTAATAGAGTTAATTGCATCATATTCCTTAAAGTATGACCCTTATTTTAAATTGGTCCCTAAACCTTTAAATATTTCAATTTCATCCTAAAACTTGACCATCATTTTAAATTAGTTCTTAAACTTTTAAATATTTTAATTTGATCCCAAACTATATGTATATACTAATCACATCTCTTGTTAATAAAATCATTAGACCAAGTTATATAACTATATATTTAAAAAAACAAAATTTAGGTTAAATTATGGTTGAAAACTAATTACATATTTGGATGAATTTGGGGATGAAATTAGAATATTCAAAAGTTTGAGGATTAATTTATAAAGAGGGTCATAATTTAGGGATGAAATTAGAATGTTTAAAAGTTTAAGATCTAATTTATAATCAGAGTCATAGTTTTAAGATGAAATTTTAATATTCAAAAGTTTAAGAACTAATTTAAATGAGGGTTATAGTTTGTGTACATATGCAATTAACTCTAATAATAATAATAATAGAATAGAGTTTTCTTTTTCATTTTGTCCAAACGGTTCGTTTTGGTTGAACTTTTTCATGTTGGTTTTCAGCCCAATCACATGGTATTACAATGGGCCCTTAAACCACACTTAAAGACTTTTTTCTCACCTCATATAGGAAAGCCCATAATTTTTGGCTGCACCTG